AGACTCCCATCATTCCTCTCTGCACAGACTCCCATCATTCCTCTCTGCACAGACTCCCATCTTTCCTCTCTGCAAAGACTCCCATCATTCCTCTCTGCACAGGCTCCGATCATTCCTCTCTGCACAGACTCCCATCTTTCCTCTCTGCACAGACTCTCACCATTCCCCTCTGCACGAAGGGCTCTCATCATCAATCTCTTCTGCATGAAAGAGTCCTTTTACATTTTCTTCTGAGTAAGTGCATCATAAGTTGTCTTAACTCCTCAATTTCTGAAAAGATCACTAATTTACCAACATTTAAAACAGACATTTCCTGAAATAACAGTCAACTCCTGTTTCTAAAGGTTTTTCCTTCTATAGATAAAACTAACTGAAAATTGAAAACACTTAGAGGAGAAATTTGTGTCTGGACTAAATATGTAAGACTTCTTTTGCAATTACTCCCTGAACAGTACAGTAAATTAATTATTTGGGTAAATACTTTAATTTAATCTATACAGAAGTGCCTCCAAAAAAAATCATATACAAATACTATACTATTTTATGCAAGAGACTTAAGCATTCCCCCCTGCTATCTCCCACCCCACCACCTTTTTAGTTTTTTGAGACATGGTCTCTCTGTATAGTCCTGAATGTCCTGGAACTCACTATGTAGATCAGGCTGGCTCAAATTCACAGAGATCCTCCTGTTTGTACTACCCCCTTCTGGGATTAAATAGCTCTCTCTCGCGCTCTCTCTCTCTCTCTCTCTCTCTCTCTCTCTCTCTCCTATGAGAGATGCAGGAACAAATCACCTACCAATACCCAGGAAACACTCTCCAGGTGACCTGGCCGACAGGTCTGTTTAGCTTTGCTCTATAATGATGGTGCTGCACATTGAGAATTTCAGCATTGTTCTTTGTATTCTGTAAATATTTTTTATATTATTCTAGCACAATTGTGTAACTTATAAAAGTAAATATTTATCTCTAGGGTTCTTGTCTTCAACATTTGTTAGGACCAGAGCAGGGCTCACTCTTCATACTAGTATTATTCTATTAGCAATGATAGCTTTTTCAAGTATTCGACTCTGTGCCCTGAGTATCTTGGGTTTCTCAGGTCCAGAGAGTAGACAGGAACTGTGTATATAACAGTTATCATCCTCTTCCATCCTTTGTTCTTCTCTGACTCAGGTAGTTTCCTCATCAGCCCATATTGCTCAACGCTCAAATACACAATCTTGGCAAGACCCCCCAAAGGTCTCTGAGGTTCTTCCATGCAGCAGTCTTCTCTCTTGTCTTCCTACATTCTAAAAATCAACATCAACCACTACAAGGCTTAGAGAACATAACAAAAAGGAGGACCAGAGATTGTAAGGGCCAGAGATTTGGTAAAAGGCTGCAAAATGCTGTCATCTCAACATGACACAGCCTTTATACATGTGAACTCAGAGTGGCTGTGATTACCTGTAAGAAACACACACAAGAACAAGCCAGTGGACATCCTAGCATGGACTGAGGAGGGGCTCCCATAGCAAGGAGCTACTGATGAATGTCCATACGACAGGAAATCACTCTTCTTCACGGCTGTGGCTGCGGACAGGTTGCTAGTGCTCCTGCACTACACTAACTGGACTTAGTGGTTTATCAAATCAAGTGAAGAGGCACAAAGGAAAATATTAGGGAGACGTGGAGAAGTGGGGGACAGGTCTGGGGGTGGAAATGACCTGAATAAATTATACATATGTATGAAATTGTCAAAGCATATTTTTCAGTTAAAAATGAAGAATAAGTCCCCAGAGCACCCCTCTGCCCTCTGCTAAGGGGAAACCACCATTGTCTAAATCAATGGTTCTTGGTTCTGTATTAGATTCTCTGTACCTGTCTTTCTTCATTCAGCTTATGCTTATGTGAGTCATCCATGGAGTGGCTTATCGCTGAGGGTAGTTAATTCTCATTGTTCCACGGTGTGCTGCTGTCCCATTACACTGCAGTTCATTTGTGCATTTGATTGCTGACTGATGTTTAGACTAGCCCTCGTTAAGGCGTAACTGCCACTATGAATATTATCTTAAGTGTCTTTTGTTGAACACCTGCTAGGAAAGCCGCCGAGTCACAGGGACTGCAGATATTCAATGGTGAAGTCCCTGTCCAACCTTATCAAAAGCTGCTGAGTGCATAGCATACTCCTCCAAAAGTACACAAGAGTCCCAGCTACCCTGGCGAGGCTACGGTTACATTTCATATCCAAAACTTAGACGCAAGCAGTCAAACAATAGGGAACTGGTTAAATAAATCATGTGTTCCCAGGCAACGGACTAGGAAATAGCCATTTAAAATAGTATTCTCAAAGCATATTTAAAGATGTGAACAAATGACTACTCTGTACTAATAGTGGTGCAATTTGTGCTCAGTGTTGTTTAAAAATAAAGTGAATGAATATACTCTATCTGCATGAGAAGGATCAAATATTGACCACAGGGGGAGGCTAAATTTCAGATTTTTTTTCTTGAAAGTTTCCATATTATTATTTGAAATCATGGTCTTAAATGATCATACATTGTACTTATAATCAGCAAAAAAAAAAAAAGTTATAGGTAAAGTCATCCTTCCCTACATACTTCTTATGCTATGAGACCTGTGAGAAATGGAAGGTTCCCATGGAAATCTGTTGGGAAAAGGCCAACCTCCATTTGAATGTCAGTATTATCACGCCTGACTCTTTGCCAACACTAGTTGAACTGCATGTTTGAGATGAGAAACAGGCAAGAGAGGACATGCCACAGGAGGTTGTCTGTCTCAAGGACCCTCTCCATAGAGGGCCTCTGTCACAGATTAAGTGGGTGAGAATTGCCAGATACTAGATCCAACCATGTTCCCATTCCAAGGGCTTCTCAGGGAATCCCCGTGGGCAACAATATAGGGAATGCTGTCTAGACATTAGGCCAGCCCTGGCACCCTTGCTCACTATTTTGGAGAGAGGACTGCAGTGAAGGGCTGGGGGATGGTCAAGCACTAAACAAAAGCCTCTGAGGTTCTGGGTTGGGAAGGACCTCTGACCAGTGAGGTGTGTTATTGTCTTTACTTTTCCATTGGGTGGAGCAGGAAAACTTAACATCTGAAGCCCCTAGAAGCTGCCTGGTTCCCTTCCTGGAAATTTCTCTTGTCTCAGTGCTACAGAAATAACAGTGATGACATGCGTTCAAGAGCAGGGTGCAACTCTACTGCAGTTTCTTGAGCATTACCTCACTGGGGCCTTTCAACACAGTTTGTTTTCCTTGTGTTTTATTTTGATTTTCCTTATACTGATGGTCATTTATTCTAATATTTCTCTCATTTAATGCTAGTGAATTATAATTTACATACCAAAATTGCAATATTTAAGTGTTATGCATTGATAGAATTTTGATAGTCATATTTTCATTAAACCATCACACTGAGAGGTGATGAGGTAGATATATCCACAATTCCTAAGCACTTTCTGCTCCTCTGAAATCACTCCATGTCATTCCCATATCTCTATCGCCAATACACTTTCTATTAATAAGAGTGTACATTGTGTAGAACTGTGTATAACTATAACTAGAAAGAGTTTGTATCCCTTCATATACCATAATTACTTTGGAAGTCATCTATGTTGCTGTATATTACTAACCTGGTATGGCTACCTGTTCTCCTGTAGATAAGAGCTGAATTCTTTCTAGTTTGGAGCTATTGTACATATAGCAGTAGGTAAACATTCATGTGCTAGTCTTTGTGAGGACATGTGCTTGCGCTCAGGTTTATTTGTTTGTTTGTTGTATAGACATTTAGAAGTAAAAATGGCTACATTACATGAAATGTATAAGCTTAATATTTTGCGAAACTACCAATTTGTTTACCAAAATAGTTGTTCCATTTTAGATTGCCATAAGGAATGTCTGGAGATACCAATTTCTGTAAATTTTTTCAACACTTGGTACAAGTACAGTAAGTCTCTTTAACCATCTTAGAGGTTCATAGTGACATCTCATTGCAGCCCACTTCCTTAATAGCCAATAATAACCTTGGACCTTTATTTCACATTATGATATTTCCTTTTTTATTAAGAATACTCTCAGGCTGTAGTTCAATGGTAAGTACCTACGTAGCATGCAAAAGACTAGGGTTTGATTCCCAGCACTGCAAAAAACTAAAAATTAAAAAAAATTTTTTTTTGTTTTAATGGGATATAAATTCCTAGTATGTGGTACAGAAATCTTCTAATCCTTAAGCAATAGGAAGGACAGCTCTTATTCTCATCTTTAACTCTGGTTCATAAGAGGGTTTTTTTGTTCTCTTGCTGGAGGGAAGTGCTGCTACAGAGGAGCTGGTCACCCAAAGACCATGGCACAGTGGGAAGCTGGAACTTCCAGCTCCAGGCCCCATGCTCCAAGAAGAGATGGTGACAATCAGAGAGAGAGAAAGACTTGTGTTCTCCATCCCTTACTATCCCCTGCCTCCCATGCCCTAATCCAATCACTTTTAATGAGAAAAAAAATGTTTGACCAGACATTTTGCCAAAGACTGACTATAAGTCAAAACACAGAGCATACTTGTCTGACATCACTACAGTGGGTATCGTGTTGAAGGCAGACCAAGCAAGTGCCATTGTTATTCCCATTTTACAGATGAAGAAACAGACTTACAGAGGTCCAATGGCTTATGGTGATAGGTTTAACTAGCCAATAGGAAGTCTGTATACACTCCAACTCCAGCTCAGTGTTTTTTCATGGTGTACCTTGTACCCTAAGGGCCTGTCATGATTCTAGAGCAATATCCTGAGAGGAGAGTTAGAAAGAGAGGTGGGACATGTATGGGCCTCACACAAGAGTCATGATAATGTGTACATGGGTAAGGGTGGAATAAGGGTGGGAAGTCAGGCATGGTTAAGCAAACCAGGATCAGAACGTGCCTATCCAGGGGGACACAATGCTGACAAATTGGGACACAGGAGCTAGCATGCTGGAGGTCAGTGAGCATCAGAAGGTCAATGTCAGGCAAGCGACACACTGCAGACTTCATTGCTGAACCATACATGAGAGCAGTAAGTAGAATAGTGGTTACCTAGTGCAACGTAATGCTTGTACATACACACTCAGTGCACTATGACACATTATTTGAAACTATTAAGGGTGTCAGTGTTTCTGCCACCAAGACCCCAGAAATCATGTGAAGTGGTGTGTTAATTAGCTATGTGTGGATCAATCTATGAACAATATATGTAATTTCTACTTGTAAATTAAACACAGACATGTTTAATATGTGACACTACAAAAGCCATCTAGAATACTTTTTTTTTTTCAAAATTGAGTTAGTTGCTGAACATGACAGACTTAGCATTACACACAGATAGAGAAGCCAGCTCCAGGGCAAGAAGAGGAGCCTGAAAACCTCAGCAAAGACAGTCATGACCACACACACACACACACCATACATATACCCATATACTATACACATACTCATATATACACATACACACAAATACACACACACACATACATATACAGACATCCATATATACACATACATATACATGCACACACATACACCATACACACATACAAACATACGTACACATTCATATGCACACACATACCTGTACACACACCCATATACACACACATGCATATACTAGACACACACATGGACATGTCACACACATGGAACACACACATGCACCCACATATACACACACATATCACACATACATGCACATATATATACACACACACCTGCACATATCACACACATGGAACACACACATGCACCCACATATACATACACATATCACACATACACACACACATGCACATATCACACACATGGAACACAAACACATGCATGCACACATACAAGCACATATCACAATACACACATGCACATACACACACAATACACACTACAATGGGTGAACCCATAAGAGAGTAGGGACCCCATCTGCCACATAGGGAACAGCAAAGTTTCATACCAGGTCACTCCAGGAATATGACATTCAATGGCTCTTAGAGAAATAAAAAAAATCACTGGTAGGAGTTGAGAGCTAAAGTGTGATTAATTTGACTTTTATACTTTTTTTTCTCAATATCTTTTTTAGTTGTACTCTGAATAATCTCAAGATGAATAGCCAAATTTTAAAATCTTATGTAAATCTTCAATCATTAATCAACACTCTTCAGGATTTTTTTTGTTTGGTTGGTTGTTGTTTGTTTGCTTGTTTTTTACCTGATGGCACTGTTCTAAAATTCCTGGAGCAGTTCCAAAGACCACAGAAAGGTCCAGGTCAAGTCAAGGACTCAATGGATCCTCCCACCCCCAAACTTGAAATAAAACTATTTGGTCATTCTTCCGTAAGGAAATTGGCCCTGTCTCTCAGGGAGGGAGACAAACCTCTGAGTAGTCTTTCTAGGTGGGGTTAACTGAGATGGGAGACCTACCTTAAATTCAGGTAGTGTGGTCCCATGTGCTGGGGTCCGCAGCTGCATACAAAAGAAAGTGAAGAGTCCCTGTATCATTGTCTCTCTCTGCTTCCTGACTATAGATACAGTGACCAGCAGTCTCAAGCTCCAGCCGTCATGACAAACTGCACCCCCAGACTACAGGCCAGAATAAACCCTTCCTTCTCTGAGTGGCTTTTGTCAGGTATTTTTGTGGGGGCAACAAGAAAAATAGAACAAAGTGGAATGGAGTGGAGTGGGTTTCTAAAATAGAACGTCCCCAGTCAGACAAACCTACAGCGATAACCACTAGGCTCACTTTCACTCTCCATGGTGCCAGTTACTTAGAGTCAACCACTGTTTAAAAATATTACACGAAAAACTCCAGTTTAAAAAAAAAAGACACAAACAAAAACAAAACAACTCATAACTATTGAATTCAGTTTCACTCTCTGTAGTATGATGAGTGGTCGCACCATCTAGTTCTGGTCCATCTGGGATGTGGACCAACCCTTCGTCCAGTGTATCTACACTGTATGTATGCAACATCCACAGTCAGTAGCCATCTTTGATAGCTGAGAGAACATGTCCCTACATGTCAGCATGGCTGTGCTCTTCGTTCATCATATGACTCGGTTTGCTTAACAATTGTTTCACTGTCAAGGTATTCTAGTAACTGTATTCAGGCCCACATTTATTGTACTCAATAAAGCGACTAAGTCCAGTGATGACACAATCATATAACCGTGTTGCCAATTGTTCTGTTCATTATTGTTGTTATTATTAATCTCTTACTGTGTCTAATTTATAAATTAATCCTGACAAGGTATGTGCATAGGAAGTTTTGCAGTACCTTTGGGACTAAGCATTCCCCAGGTTTCAGGTATCCACTTGGGATGTACTCCACCTAGAAAAAGTAGTTCCAAGTCTATTAGCCTTCAATATACTTTTATATACAGTTTATAGTCAAATGAATTTGGATTTCTGATTGTCTAAATATAGGTGGCATTTGAATTAGTGTGTTCTTCTCAACAATTTACTGTTTTCCATTGATTTAAAAATAACTTTTCTTTTTAATTTTAGAATGCAAGAGTCCCTTACTAGGTGGTGACTTTGTCACCATTTTAAGGATGTGCTGTGGAAAACAATGACTACTTTTACTAAGGGGCTTTCCTAGCCCAGCCATGGCTGTCCACCATATTACCCACCTGCCTTTTACCTTCCTGCTGCAGCCCTGTGGTGCTAGGCTGAGCCACCATCAGAAGCACACCACTGGCTTTGAGAAAGTTACAAAAGTCTGCATTGATGCTCCCATACTGTCAGACTACAAGGCACCCAGACATGGACCATCCACACGAGTCCAGTGTAGCCTCTCTGAAGCAGATCCAGCATCGATCCTCAGGCCGGAGGCCTTCGGGTCAAGCTGTGCTGTCAGCAAAGCGCAGTCCTGAGACAGCCCTTTCTGCCAGTACCAGAGACAGCCTTATATCCTATGCAAGCATTTCCAATTCTCTAAAGGACGAATCCTCCTGGGACAGTGCGTCTGAGAGGTTAGTAGCTCCAGCACCTAAGTGGGAGCTTTGTAAAGTGACTTCTGTTCCCCCATCTTCCAGATAAGTGTCAGCTTAAAAACTATAAATGCTTCCAAGAAGTGTACTTAACCAAAGAGCAGCTCATGTTACATAAGCCTAGAATAGGAATTTTTAATCATCATAGACTTTGAGCTCCCATGTGAACTTCAGCCTAATTTCCCAAGCTCCAGTTAACCAAACATCCTGGAGGTCACTGACCACATTTTTTTTTTTTTTAACAAAACCATAGAGGCAGAGCCAGTCAGAACTGCATGGGTCCTTACAGATCAACTCTGCTGAGCCCAAGGCATCAGAAAGCAGTGACAACAGCCAGTATTTACTGACCACATCTATGCCAAGAGCCACGACATGCATTTACATCATACTAGCCTTCTGCATTGGCTCCTCGAATTCTTCTATTGTTCCCATTTAACATATGAAGCTTTGTGAGTAGCTAAGTAATCCACCCAATGTCACACCTGTGCCCTACCTCCACCACATCCCTCTGTGCTCTAAACCACTGCAATTTAGTAACTACTTGTCCCACTAACAAGGCTAAGGGAACTTACTCTCTGCAGCATACAGGAGAGACATCAAGTGGAGTTCATCATTCTGTAACTACCAAGTCACATACAACCACAGCAAACATTGCAACTACCTGCATAATAAGCCCAACACCACAGTGGCTTCTTAGAGTTCATGTCAGGTTGCAAAACCCTAGAACTGTGGGATGTTTAGAGGCAATACAGCTGAACGTTCTTTGACAAATGAGAACGCAGGACCTAGAGAGATGCCATGTCTTGCCCAGTCTCCCAGTTAGCTAGAAGGCAGGAAAAAGAGTTATGCTCTGGGGTTAAAAATAGGATGCTGTTTAGGTGACTCCCTAATGTTTTTCTAAACACGTGATTTGTTCTACTAACCTGATATTACGAGCTGGTGAAAAGCAGCATCCAAGTTGAAGGGGGAAAAAAAAACCTATGGTTGTGATTATTAACCTTTAAAAGCCTTTTAACTTTTATTCCAGAATTTATGGAACACCTAGCTCAAGGGTATAATGTGGCTTAACTTAGAAAAGGTCAGTTCCCTCTGCAGGGCATTCCAGCAGTTTTATAATAATGTTGTACATTTATATGGAGCTCCTTTTTCCACTGGGAGAGCAGGAAGCTAAAATTTTATTATCTCTGTTATTTATTGAAGTGACTGATAGATCTGTCTATGGGTGGATGGATGGGGTTTCAGCCCAGGGAAGCCCATAGGAAGTACCACAGGGAACACAAACATTAGCAGCTTAGGGTCCTTAACAGTGTTCTCTCTCCTCTTCTTCCTTTCCCTCCCCATCTCCTTCTCCCTCTCTTTCTCTCTCCCTTTCTTCCCCACGCTCCCTCCTTGTCTTTCTCTTTCGCCCTCCCTCTCTCTTTCTTTCACTCTCTCTCATAAAAACAAACAACAGAAAGAAGCGTTCTCTTCATCCTTTGAGATGCACTAAAGGTATTAATAAAAGACAGCAAGAATAAAGCAACAAGGAGGAGAAGATGAGCGACAGTCTGTGTGGTAGACAAGGCCACGGGGTTGTGTCCCACAATGCCCAACACAGCACACAACCATGGGACGTACTCAAGTCAGCTAGGAGACCTCCTCTCCAGATGGTCTAACAACAAACTTAGCTCCGGTCTTGTAGGGAGGCAGGTGGGTTCCGGGTCTGCATCCATCAACCCTTACAGATTAGATATCTCCCATAGGTGTCGCATAGGCTCTCATCTCCTCCTTGGGGCAGAAAAGAAACAACTAATAAAAACAAGATGAACACTTTTAAATGGAAAGGAAGGCCAATTTTGGATCAGAAGTGTGGTCACCAGAACTGGGCCACAGAGTTGGATCATGGAAATATGTCAAAGCATGTGGACAAGAATTAAGGCCACTGGGTCAGGGCTGCACCAATAACCAAGTTTATGTCCTGGTCATAATTGTTTCCAGAGACCCTCAAGGCCAACAAGGGTGGAGAGTGTGGTTTCTAGAAGCAAACACTTACAGTATCTAAGGCAGCCTCGTTACATGGATGCCTCCTCCCCTCAGAACCACGTGCAGCCAGCAAACTTCCAAGATAAATGGAACACTGAAGAAAGGCAATGGTTAGGCTGCAAAGGGGAAAATTTAGCAGAGGAGCAGCAGCCAGAGAATGCAGATATTAAATGTCACATGAAAGAAAGACAATCTAGATGTATCGTGTATGTCTAGTCAAATAGAATTGAGCCCAGGGGGGTGGAATTCCCAGAGAGCCGTTTTTAATCTCCAGATAAGGAAAAGCATTAGACCAGCATGCCTTTGTGGGCTCAGCAAGCTCACTCTCTCTTATTTATTCCCCAAGCATTTACTGATCAGGGCCCAGTGTGAGGCTCCACGGGGGTGTCTGTTCTCTCTAGTCAGCATCCCTGTACCCTCACAGGGTCCTGATTTGAGTAACAAATTATATAGTTGTCCTGCTCAGTGAGCATCTGATACATGCCAGGAACGAGACTAAACACTGAAGAAGAAAAAAAGCACAGTCCCCAGGAGGCCTAGTGGTACATGCTTGCTATCTCAGTACTTTGGAGGCTGGGAAAAGGTGCGTACAATGAGTTTGAGGCCAGTCCAAGCTACTCGGTAAGCTCAAGGCCAGTTTGATGACATAGCAAAACCCTGTCTCAAAAATAAACAACAACAAAATCCATAATTTTTTTACTTTAACTTCTAGGTAGAAAGGGAGAGAAAGAGCAAATTAGAATAAAATTTCCTAAGGGCTCTGTAAGCAATGGTGTTGGGGATAGAGACATTAATTTTAATATTGGACATAGATAGAAGCCAAGAGGTCATTCAATGTTGTTGGGTTTTTTTTCTCATCTAATAAATATTTGTTGACTACATGTTATGTGTCAAACACAGTAAAGGTCCCAACCGCTAGACAAAGTGAAATTTCTCTTTCCTCAGGAAAATGATCTGAAGTACAAAAGACCACCCACAAACAGCACTGTGTATTACCGTTGCTCCTGGTTGCCTGTCAGAACATGAAGCTAACCCCCTATGGCTGAACACGCCCCACATTTCTGTCACAAGATCGAAAAAACCCTCATCCACTACCATTTAAAAAGAACTGTCCTGCACAGAACAACACCGTGTACCAGGCAGTACTTGATACTGTCTGCCTAGGGCACATCTCCAAAACGTGTGGGTTGTGAATACGGCTTCCTGTGGCAACTCTCCCAAGTCAGCTGAAAATCGCTGGCTCCTGTCTCCACACACCCCTTCCCACTTAAAGCTCTTTTAATACCCAGAATAAGTTCAAAAGTGCCCAGTGTCTGCCTTTCTTGCTTGGGGCTTTCTCTGCTGGCCTCACAGCAGACTGTGGAATTCTAAGCATGCGTCTGCGGCTCGGAGAGGCTGCCAGTATGTCAGGCCATAGGTTTTACTGGGGTCCATATCCCAGGAGAGAAACAGTATCTGTGACATCTGTCAGAAAGAAAAGAAAAAAAGAAGCAAAGGAAGAAGGCTCCATTACTCCTGACATGGTTTCCACTGGCTTCTTTGTAGAGTTCTGGCTTTACGGATGCTCTGAAATAAGCAATAAGCGTGCTTTGAAATGCATGACTAGAGCAATACTAAACTAGAAGAAAATCACCTCAAGTTTTAGTTGACTTTTTTTAAGTAATGTACACTCTTTGGGCTACAAGAGCACCTTGTGAAGGATCAAGCAGTAGACATGAATCCCAGGACAGAAGGAATGCTTCATGTCAACTTTCCTTCCTCCTTCTCTACCAAGTCAAGAAATGTCTGTGCAGGGCCTACTCCAAACACCAACTTCTCTTTGTTTCAGAAAGTAAAAACATGGCTCCCTAGATGTCAAAGGCTCTCAATCAATTTATATCAAGGGGACAGACTGAGCTCTTCCCAGGATTTACTCTTTCTACATTTAAAAAACTCAACCACCTAGGACTAGCCAACCACCAGTGCAACTCTGTGTTTTATGACTAGTTTTGTTGCTAGAGACACACTGTCTGAGCTCTTTTGGGTCTATCACTGGACAGAAATAAAGTTGCGGCCTTCCTATACCTCTCCTTAAGATGTTCCACAGCACCACAGGGTTTAGGATCCTACAATACTCAAGGCTTATGCTCTCTTCTTCCTCAGATACCCAGATTTGCCTCCCTGAATACTAGTTGTCACAGTACCAGAGATATTCCAGTGACTTCCAGGCCTAGACTATAGCCTAGAGTGTTCTTGGAGTCATCTCTTGGAGTGACTGCAGAACACACTTCTTGGGGCTTCTCTAGTGCATCTCTTTGGCTGAATGGCCCATATGAGATCCTTGAACTTCAAAGCCCTCACTTCCTCTATCAGGGTTGTAGAGATCGGCAGGAACACCAGGAACTAAATGAGATTTCCTGTGTGGGTCCCTACTTCGTTCCTCACAGCATGCCACCCCTAGATAGTGATAGAAGAGTCATGGCCATCGGGCAATAGTGTGGAGTGGCAAATGTTCCATCTCCCAGAATTCTTTGTACCAGGAATCCTGATCACAGTATCCAGCAAACACTAGTCATCACCACAGCAAAGACAAACTACTGAGTATCAGAATTTTGCCTAACTTCACTCAGCCAAATGAGCGGCTAATGCTAGACTCAGGGGTCTCTAAAGAAACAGAACTGATTGTGCGTGTGTGTGTGTGTGTGTGTGTGTGTGTGTGTGTGTGTGTATCTGTGTGTATATGTATATGTACATATATACACCTATACACACACACACACGTGTGTGTGTGTGTGTCTCTCTCTGTGTGTTTGTGATGAGGATTTATCAAATTGTCTTACACAATATGCTTCTGGCAGTCCAACAATGCTGACTCACACTGGATAAGCTGAGAATCTGCTAACTTCTCACATCAGGAGGCTGAATGTCTCAGCAGCGGTATCTCTGGCAGTGAAGGTCTTGAGGATTCCTGGAAAGCTGTTGGTCCTCAGTCTGCATTGGAAGCCCAAAGAAAGTGGTTTTATTCTCAACAAAGGAATGTTGTAGCCACAGTGCAGGCAGACTTGTCAGCAAGAGTGAAGGCAAGCAGAAAGCAGTTTCCATCTTATGCCCTTTATCTGGTCCGGCACCAGAAGTTACCATCCACATATAGGATCAGTCTTCCCACTTCAAATGATGTGATCAAGAACATCCCTCACAGACATGCCCAGTGGCTTGTAATTTACTTGACTCCAGATCCAACCAAGTTGACAACCAAGATTAGCCATCACAGTCACCAAAGTAGCTCCTGAGTTTCACCAATTAAATGATTCAGTTCCATTACGGAGAGCCCCAACCTATAGAGCAACTGATTACAGAGTTGTTCTGATTTAAGGAAATGTGGCTGGGGCTATTTACCACGTACTTCTTTCTCACTGGGTCACCTGTAGCAATTACATCAATTCCCAGAGACATTTGAATACCCCTCCCCCATGTCTGGCGCCTCTGCAGAAAGGAGAGGCATGCCAAGGAGGCTTTAGCTGTTGTAGCACACCCCACGTATGAGCACTGCATGTGTTCAATCTCCTCAACCACTCTCAGGAATCTTCAGAAGCCAGAAGATTCTAGCAATGCCAATTTATACTATCTTTTCCATAAAAAAGACAACTTTTCTTTTTCCACTTTCTATGTGGACAATTACAGGGCCTCCAGCTGTCACCATCAGTTAAATCACCGGGACTTCCTTTCTGGTCATACTTTTTTTTCCTGAAGCAGCAGATTAGTCCCTGACGCCTCAGTGCTTTTTATCATCAAGCAGTATTTGTCATCCTGAGGGCCTTGAAGCTCAGTTTCCATCCAGTAGATCACATGTGAGGCTCTCCCTCAGCCAGTTGTCGCACTATTACCACACAAAATGGCTCTAAACAAACAAGTAGACGCTAGAGATCATTGAACATTCCAACGTTCTTCATCATTGAGCCTGTCTATTTATCATCATCAGTATTTTCCTTTCCTCAGCCCTCTTTTCCCCCTCCTAGATCCAGCTTTTCAAATGATTTCAGATCCTGAACAAATAGCACGTGTTCAACAAATATTTGATAACTTGATTTACATCACTGGACATACAAGAATATTCTGAAATGAAGGAGAGATGCCAATCGCAGAATTTTAGAGCCAGCAGGGATCTGGGAAACAGAACCAAGCAGGCCCCTTGTGTTGTAGATGAGAAACGGGGCTACAGAGGGATACAGTGATTCACCTCCATCCTTACCTATCTGATTACAAGCTGAACTAGAACTCAAACAGACACCTCTACTTTCAGCCTACAGGATATCATGAATATGAAAATAGCACCTGTTCTCTTCAAGGTCTGCACGGCCCAGGGTTCCAACTAAAATATGATGCTGTTTGTTCTTGACTCTGGGAGTTTTATGATTAATATAGTCTTTCATTTCAAAGAAGAGAAATCTTCTAAAACCTGGCAAGTAAAAAATTAGAATTCATGATTTGCCTGAGACTGTTCAGTCAAGACTTCACAAACTTTGGTCTGGGGAGAAGACTCAATGGCTAGAGTGTTGATCACACAAACATAAAGGCTGGGGTTTAGATCCCTGGCACCCACATAAACAGCAGCCAGGGATCTAGATGTGTGACTGCAACTTGTATTTCCAACACTCAAGACGCAGAGATAAGACATACCTGACAGAACAGCCCAAACTGACAATCTATGGGATCAGTGAGACATCCTGCCTCAATAAATCAGTAGAGAAAGATCAATGAAGACACCCAATGTCTACTTCAAGCCCCTCCCCCTCCCCCCCCCACACACACGAAAAAAAAACAGATTTTTCCAAACCTGGCTGCATGTTGTAATTACTATCTTGGCTTTCAAAAATACAATTTCTCTACCAAGTCAATTTCTGGGTTTGACAATTTTTTTTAAAAAATCTGCTTGTTTGAAGTTTGTATGCTTTTCTCAGTAACTCATTCAGTTCAAGGTTGAAGACTAAAGCTCTACTCCTACTGACTCCTTAACTCACACAGGGATGGCAAGAATTAACCGTAGACACCTGAGTATTAAAGCCCACTGCCAACTGGAATTGTATCTAACGTTATCAGTCAGCACAGCAACCTATAATAATGGTGATATTGAACGTAAAAATCACACTTAGGTCGATCATCAAAGTCAGTTTGTTCCTGTCCCAAATCCCTGGCATTTGGGATTGGTCCTCAAGCATAGCTCCCCTTGGCCTATCTGTGGACAGTGAAGATTGCAGCTGGGATAACACAGTGGCAGCAGGAGTAAGTAGTAGAAATCTTGGGGCAAGTGTAATTTTGAGCCTGCACATGTATGTAGGCAAATCCTGATCAATCTATAGCTCCAGCACTTTATCTCTTTTGGGTACTCCCCTAACCGTCTTCCTCTCAAGTAATTCCGGGAGTTCTGGGGATGTCCAGAACTGCATATGCTCAGCATCAGGACCAATTTATTCTGACTCATTTGCCAAGCCACAGTTCACGCTCTTCAGTTGGTTTAGGTTACCAAGCAACTTCCTTGTCACTCAGCATAATGACCTATTTCCAGTGGGGAGGCAACTTAACAAGGGAGCCTGGGTGTAGGAACCTCACCTCTCTCAGCCCTTGCCAATCTAGGTGTGGAACCCAGCTGCCTAGTTGTCCTAGGTCAATCATTTAGCCCCTGTATGCAAAACAAGAGTGAAGGGAACATCTCCCCAGCTGGTTATGATTTGAGATGATTCATTTAAAACATGTGGCACGGAGCCCATGCTCCCTGAATGGCTGCATCTAGTTACTTCAGCCTGAGAGCAATAAAGAAATGTCAGCTGGAAGTGCAGTGTGGGGTCGCTACACATCTGGGACAGTCTTGTAGCTGTCAAAATTAATGGAGAGAAGAAAATTCTACAGCACTCCAGGCCCCCTGCTGTCTCGAATCCCTCTAGAAGGCTGTAGAAACAGCTGTCTCTGTGCTTTTGTTGTTGCAGTTGGTGTGGAGCACCTAGGGGTATCATTTCTGCAAACCCTTCAGCATCCAGAGGCAGCCATGGTGACAGACCCAGCAAAAGCCTGTGTCCTCCTGAAGCTCAGAATCAATGCTTCTGCAACCTTTAGTGTTTTCATTGCTGATTGGTGTATGAACTTTTTCTATTGATCAGCATAGATGCAACTGATTGTCCCAGAGCTCCCACCATCCCATAGTTTGGGGTGTTCACTTACCTCTACAAAACACTTGGAGAAGATGGGGTGGGGTGGGGGAGAGAGAGAGGGAGAGAGAGGGAGAGAGAGAGGGAGAGGGAGAGCATTAGTCAATTCTACAAGTTTTCTTCAAATAATGTTAGAGGTAAGGAAAACCTAAAAATCAAAAAAGGAGATCTTGGGTACTAAAGTACTCCAGACTTTTGTAGTTAAAAGTGAAGAGGGACTAATTCAGGGGATTTAAGAACATATTAAGACTTCCAGTCTGGGCCCGACCATAGAGCAGGTCACAGGCGGCAGCTCTGTACCCAACCCCAGAAAACCGAGAGAAAGAGGGACTCACAGGAGCTTTAACTCAGGCAGCATCCCAGGTTAAAATGAATCATCCGTGATGTCTGCTGTTAGAAGTTCTAATCCAGATGCTGGCCTCCGAACTTATACTACTCAGACCTTTGAAGAGCCACTGACAAGAACATCAAACAGCTAGAGATTGACATCACTAATCTGAAGAAATCCCTCGTTTCGCTGTCAGAAGAGACCTCCTAAAATCGCAAGGATACTTATTGGACTTGATTTACTCTATTACAATAGAAAAGGCTGTGTACAGCTCTTGAATGTGTACAGCCCTTAAAGAAGAAGGTTGCCTTTACATAGACAAGACAAGGAGGGTTAAAGAGAGCATGAAATAGGTAGTGAAGGCCCTAAGAAAAATCAGAGAGAGAGACAGATGAATGCTGGTACAAGAATTGGTTTTCAGCCTCTCCAAGGTTGTCAACCCTAATTCCTCCCATCCTGGGACCACTATTTGGGTTCTTTTTGATTTTTTCTGCTGGTCCCTGGCCATCAAATAGGCAGACTAACTCTGTGATACAACAGATAAATAATTTGGTAACAAAACCTACTCAGATACATTATCATAAGTTAGCTATGGAAGACCACGAGACTCAAGATGAGGTTGTAACTTTATACAGGGCATTTCCAAAACCCATCTCCACCCAACCTAAAAGGGGGGACTTCTGCCCCTAGACCAAGCAGAGAGGGGCCACCCAGAACTCCCTCTGACAGGCGATCTGAATTCTTGCTTAGGTTGCGAGGCTAAGCACTGCAAGGGAATATCAATAAAAGATAAAAATATCTATCTGGGTTCCCTGAGGGACAAGCCTGACTGCATAGAGGTTGATGTCAAAAGTATCCCCTCTCCAGGAAAAAGACATCTGGATGGGTATGGCCCTCATGCCTCACTGGACAACGACAGGGGGACTGGAGCCATTACAAGGTCCCCTTCAAGTACTGGAGGTCAGGCCTCTATCCCCGCCTTCGCAAGATTAGAATTGCCACAGCCCTTCTATACTTAGAGAAGGGAGGAGATGTCAGGGGCAGCCCTGCTTACACACTGAAGGCCTAAAATCAGCCATAGGCCTAAAATCAGCAATAGGCCTGTCATACATGTATACTAACACCAAGTCTTGGGTCTCAGTGGAAAAACATTGAAACAGATAGCTATAAGCTAATGTAAACAGGCATCTTCTGTGGAAATTTACAAGCCTGAGTAGTCATAGACCTTGTAAATAGGTAGCCTTGGCAGACAATACCAACTTAGATAAGGACAAGCGAGTCATAGGCAGAGTCATAGTGACTTGTCCCCTGAACCTTCACCCAGCGGATACCCAGTTCTGAAGATATCTGTATTCCCCTGAACACCCACATTCCAGTGCCATTCCCTTCCCCACATCCTGCCTTTCTGTGTTTATAACCCCTGTGTGAATGAACTACGATTTGAGAAAAAATAAATTATAATAAAAAAAAAGAAAAAGTAGCTTCTCTGTGTCTATTTAAAATATATATATATATTAAAAACCAGGACGAGGACTCCTAATCCAGAATACAGTGGACTCTGTTACTTCACCTGAGGTAATGCCTTCATTATCTCCATTACTGTGTTCAGTACTCTTTTTATGGAAAGAGGTTGGTCTGCAGGGCTCTCTTAGTAAACATGTTGACCTAGAACGAGTGAAGTAGCTCAGAGGAAAAGCCTTAGCATCCAAAGGCAAGGAGTTTCCCAACAGGAAAGAAGTACAGTATTAGCTGCAGCTACAGGATCCATGGGTGGGCAGTCAGACCTCACATGAAGAATACCCTACCTCATAGGATGAAGAACTCAAGGAGGCCTGTTATGCAGTGCTTCATGCGGTTTAGCAGAAAGCCACATCCACAAGGGACATCTGGTCTCCCTTCCTAAAGATATATGCTCAGTTGCTGCCACGGGAGGTCAGATTCCAGGACCGACCTGGAAGCTCGTGTGCATGTTTTCTCTTAGTCCATAAAGCCTATATTGGGTAAGGCAGAATGAAATTTATCTATAATGTCACATGAACCTCATTCACACCTGACCTTCAAGCTCAGCAGGCAGAAGTCATACTTGGCTTTCACTGGGCGTTGAAGGAGTATGTGGGCGTGAGACAAAGAGCTCCGGCTGGCAATCAGGTCACCTGCCCAGAGTTTGCCTCAGCTTGACCTTAAGGGAGTTCCAAACCCATTTCTACATCCATAAGGTGTATTTCTTCTACAGAGATACAGCCAGAAGTCATGACCATCAATGGAAGCCAAACTGTTGTCTGAACCACTGAGAGTATATTCATGAAAAGCCAGGCTTCCTAAACCCCAAGACAAGTCAACAGAAATATAAAACATATAAAGAATTGACAAATATGCATTCAAGAAATTCTTACACACCCTAAAGACTGCATGGCATTTAACTAGAGACGAGTCCTTACTATGGTTTCATGGTGTTAAAACTCCCAACTTTGGTGACACATGAGCCTTATAATCTGCCTTTCAAGTTCTACTCCCACCATCTCTCTGTCTCACCATGCTCCTGGCATACATCCAGGTCTATAAATCAGAAGCCAGGCACAAGAAAAATGGCTTGTATTGTGATGGTTTCTATATGCTTGGACCAGAAAGTGACACTATTAGGAGGTATGGCCTTATTGGAGTAGATGTGTCACTGTGGATGTGGGCTTAAGACCCTCATCCTAGCTACCTGGAGGTCAGTCTCCCACTAGCAGCCTTCAGATGAAGATGTAGAAGTCTCAGCTCTGCCTGCACCATGCCTGCCTGGATGCCGCCATGCTCTCACCTTGATGCTGAACCTCTGAACCTGTAAACCAGTCCCAATTAAATGTTGTCCTTTAAGAGTTGCTTTGGTCATGGCATCTGTTCACAAGCAGTAAAATCCTAAGACATGCATCCACTTACCCTCAGAGCATCCCAACGAGTAAGCACTATTATCTTCCCCAGTTGGAAGATACTGAAGACATTGAGGCTTACACAGTTGCGTTACATGGCCCAGATCCCATTACAAGTCTGTCATAGAAGTCAGAGTTTAATTCCAGTCTGTAGGATGCTATTCTTAGTTCTTAACCTCCCCAATACACCATTCTATATTCAGTCAAATGTGCCTAGGCATCGGAAGCCAGCTTTCCCCTCTGTCCCACAGTCCTCACAAACTTTCTCTCTAACCCCCTGGAAATACATAGAATTCAAATGTCTTACTGGATCCCTCAACTGTCCACAGACCCCACTAAAAAGCATGTGATTATTTCCTCCTGACTCTCCTTCAGGCTTGCATTGCTATTGCCATTTCAACACTTGTAAAATTGTAACTGCCTTTATTTTATGCTCCGACATCTTTTACTAGGCTTTAAAAATTCCTAAGGCATGAGGATTTTAGTGAAACTCGTAGTCACATGCCATTACACATTTGTCCAGACACTGAACATACAATGCCAAGGGTGACCTAGTGTTGGCTATAGGGCTGGGGCTGATAATGGTGTGTCAACGTAGTTTCATCAATGGTTAACTAGTATCAATTTAGTGGAATGCAGTTAGGCTAATCTTTGTATACATAAAGGTAAGAAGTAAAACTTAAGGTCTATTTACATATTTTAGAAATCCTAAGACTGTGCCCTGTAAGCACATAACCCCCTGCAGAAAGCACAGAAGAGCATACATGAATGGAAGCATGGGTGGCAAGATATGACAGCTGCTTCTCATCGGACAGAGAACAAGCATCAAATGGGTGCTGCGGCAGCTATTCCAGGGGCAAACAGGCATGCTAACTGCTCACTGGCTAGTGGGAGCTGCCAAGGAGTCAGAGGTAAGAAAAAGGAAGAGCAGAGGAACCAGGTGAATTTCAAAGGAAGCAAATGGTAGCCAATGTTCTGTGAATGCAAACACTCCTAAGCCAGGACCACAGCTGAAGGCAAGCTGAGCTGTCAGGAGGGGATAAAGAACCTGAGCAATGAGTCCCTGAGTGTAGAAGGACAGATCCGAGGGCCATCCATCATCCGAATGAAATGCAACCGAGAAGTCAGCCTGGGAGACCACACTGCAGGAACCCGGACTGTAGTATCCCAGAGAATAACTCCAAGAGACATTTTAATGGTGACTCTGATGCCAGGGGTCAGAGGCTGTGACATAGCTTCAGAGTAAGGGCAATTAATGATTTATTTGGGAAGGAAAATCTGGAGGGAGAAAAAAAAAACACCAGCTATGTGGTAATAGCATCAAGCACACCAAGGACAAAGGTGATTACACACACTTGGAAATGAAATGGCTTCTGGCTGAAGAAGGGGTTGGGACATTTGTTTTCTCAGTCTACCAGTGACAACTGATATCAGAGGTGGCAATACGCACCTCTGGGTCTAAGAATCCAGGTCTACTTACCAGTCCTGTGACCTTAGGGAAGTTGTATAATCTCCCTGAGGTTCCTCTTTTCATCTCTTAAAGGGGAATGATATTTGCCCTAAAGGGTTGTTACTCTTATATGAGATGAAATATGTGAATACCCAAGCTAGAGGTTCAGGGAATAGTGACGGTGGTGGAGACTATAATTTTAAGGAGAAATTGTTCTGTGCATTCAGGCTTTATTAAGTTCTCCACCTTTCAAAGGAGCCCTAAAGGTTTACCAGAGTAGTGAAACTGAAGCTACGTCCACTCTCTTTTCCTATGCCAGGCATTCTCTGCACAATACAATGGGCTGAGTCTGAGAGAAACACTCATGACAGTTTCTAGGCCAAAGAGGAGTAATGCTTTTCTGTAGTGCAAAGCATAGAGGCAGAAGTGCCACCTATGCTTCATAATCAAATGGCCTGGGAGTCAGAGGACAGTATAGTCATTGCTGGTGTCATGGAAGGAGGAGCAAGTGTGGCACCAGAGAATCTGAGCTTAACTATACCTTTTATAAATCAGACTTTAAGGGAAATTGCAAGTGGCCATGCTCCGTACAGATAACTCTAGTCTAGCACAATTAATCCATAGGATACACTTGACCAAATCAATAAGCCATTGTCTAACTAAGGGAGCAGGCTCTTCAGCAGTGCATACTGAGCCATTCAAAGGCAGCAGGAAGGACAGCAAATGAACTGGGGCAGGTGGCCAGACTGAGCCAGAAGCCTGGTACAGACTTAGAAATGAAATCAGCAAGACCAATTGGGGAAATGCCTCAACTGATAAAGTGTTTGCCTTGCAAGCATACAGATACAAAATCAGACCCCCAGAATCTGACACACACACACACACACACACACACACACACACACACACACACACAAAGCTGTCAGGAATGATGTTGCACACCTGTGATTCCAGTGGGGAGGAGGGAGTGACTGGCAGATAGATCCCCGGGACCAGCCAGCCTAACCACATTCGTGAGTGTCCGGCCAACAAAAACATGGCAAATGGTGCTCCTAAGAAATGACATCCAAGCTGTCTTCTGGCTCCTTCATGTACACGCAATCATGTGCATATGTGGACACATGCATAGATATATAAATAAAATTTTAATTTAAACTCAATTTTTTAAAGGAAGTCAGTATGTAGTGTCATGACCATCATACATATGGGCTATGAGAGAGCCATAAGGAGAAACAAAGCTAAAAGAGAAGTAAACACAGCAAGGGAGAAATTGGGCATTCTGAGGAAAAGCTGAGAAAGAAGGAAGAGAGATGGAAAGAGAGTCTGGATGACAGACATGAGAACCAACAAACCTCACTGAGGAAAAAGCAGACTCAGTGGCTGGTGTCTCATCTTGGGTCTAGACACAGGACTGCTAAGTTTGATTGATCTCCAAGAGGAGAGAACGTGGTCTGGGCCCTTAGAGTCCAGACAGTCTGGAAGAGAAAGGCCAAAGCTGTTAGATCTTTACTTCCAAACCCAGCAATGCTTTCTTTCTGATGACTTTCATAGCTTTGTTTTTGATTGACACATACTAATTGTGCACATTTGGAAGGTGTACTAAGATGCTTTGATGCCTATGTACAATGTGTAGGGATAATCGAGTAATTAGCATATCTGTGATTTCAAATATTTATCATTCCTTTGTTCTAAGAACATTATTACAAATCCTCTCTTCTGACTGCTTTGAAACGTATGCCACATTGAGTTAACTACAGTCACTCTGCTGTGCAGTGGAACCGAACGTTCCTCCTATCTACTTGAAACGTTGTACCCACAATCCACTTCTCTCATCTCCCATCTCTCTTACTCCCCACAACCTCTGCTAAACACATTCTATTCGCAACTTCTATTAGAAAAAAGCATCCTCAGCATTGTTTTTAACATGAAAATAAAAGCAACATGCTCCTACTCATTATTCTGCTTTTCTCCCTCTGGGTCATCTAAGTTCTCGGGAGAGTATCACAGAGTTTGCGCAGTCAGAAGAGGTGGAAATGGTCCAGAGATGCTATGAGGGCACTCTGATAGGAGTTGGAAGACGTTCATTTCGGAATACGTTGTTTAGTAGTCAAGGCATAGCTGATGTCACCCCACCCATGTGAGAAGGACTTTGGGGAGAGTGTGTAAGGGGACTTAACCTTTGCCCCTGCCTTGGCTACTTCTGTGATCTTGAGCAATTGACTTAACCTATTTGGACATCTGTTTATAAATTTGCAAAAATGCGGAGGCTGAGTTGGAGGCCAAGCTTATTTACATCGCTAACGCTCTAAATTCTGTGGTCCTACCAGCCCATGGTTATTTACACATCAGGCTTTCTTGAAACACCCAAAAGGTATCAGCAGCCTTGGCAGGCGTGTCAATAATATTTTATTTATTATGTTATTATGAAGGGACTAGATTATTTATCTTCCCTTGGTACAATTTGTACTTTCCTACAATTCAACACGCACAGCGAAGCTCTCCCCTTCTCAACTCACAAAGCGCTAGATGCCTGTCAGTGTTCTTAGCACGTTCTGCTATAACCGTAGTATGGTTATTCATAAAAAATGCTGCATTGTCCAGAACCAATGCTCAAGATGTGCTTGTTTATGTCTTCAACCTACAGCCAAAGAAAATGGAAAAGACAGGAGGAGCTTTTTTTGTAGGGCTCTTATTTTGTGCTCCTCCAACGCTCCAACTTTCCAACTCTTAATAAATGAGCCCATCTCGTGGCCAAAGACCCCAATGGTAATTTCTGGAGTAATGTGGGAGTCATGGGACACAAACAAGGAAGGCAGCTGCTGGGAGTATCATCAGAAAAAAAGGGGACAGCAGGAGCTCCTGCCCAGGCACGGGCTCTAGGTTTGAGATGACATCTAGTTATGCAAAATGGAACAGTACGTTGAGCCAAAGGAATGATGTCAAATGTCAAGCATTTTCAGCTGAAAAATAAAGAAGAAAAAGAGAGGCATAGACAGACAGAAAGACAGACAAAAAGAGAAAAGGGAGAGAGAGAGAGAGAGAGAGAGAGAGAGAGAGAGAGAGAGAGAAATATCAACAGTTCAAACAAGGAGCTGTCCCCTAAGCTGTACTTTCAGGTCAGCCATATTTTCTAATCAATCATCCTGCAAGACATGTTTCCCAAGGACTCGGTGTTATTTCAACAAGTTTCCATGGCCCTTTTATCATTGGGGGAGGGAGGACACGCCTCTTAGAGTTCCTGTTCTCTGCTATTTTTTTTAATTCCCCAAAGCAGAGGGCCTCCCTCCTTCAACCAATTCTCCCACCAATGCCCCAGGTCTCTATTAATAGTCAACTTCCTATTGTCACCATGCCCTAACCCTGGCACATCCTTGCTCTATCTTCTGGCTTCACTCTCCTACAACACCTCTAAGGGACAATGGCTTCCTTTGTCACCAGTGATCCCTGAGATTGCTGGGGTCAAGAGCCTTTAACTCCTTTCCTCCTGCTGCCACTCAGGCCCACTTCCTGCTTCCCCCGTCCATGTCAGCAACCCTCAACAGGGTCGCTCACATTCCCAAGAGCCTTCTTCCACAGTTAATGCCTACCCTAGAAGCACACACGCGCCTGCTAGTCTTGATTTCTGGGAGCTGAAGTTTTGTTTCTGTTAACTTGCAAGCTCATTTTCACCTCTCTCCCATGTGTTTCTATACTTAAACAGTGACTGAATTCAACTTTTGGGACAAGAGAAAGAACTTTACTCAACCAGAGTCAGGGATGGTGGCTGAAGAGGCCCTGCCATCACAGGACAGATGGCAGACACTGACCCAAGACCATCTTAGTCGCACAGTGGGTGCCAGAGCATAGGCTAACTGCTTGCCCAGCAACTTCCCTGAGGGACAGAGAGACAGACAACCACACGGTCCAGGGCTACTTGCTACTGGCTGGAAAAAAAATTCACATAGTTAACTCTCTTAGCATAGCAGTAAACTGGGAGGCTGTTGAGGGCTCAGAGGTCTGTGGGTGGTGCGAAGAAGCCTGTGCAGCATAGTCCCAGGATGCTGAAACAGGCTGGAGGGGCCAGCCTTCCAGGAGAGAAAAGCCAAGTCAACATCACCAGGCTGCTAATGCCTCCAGCTCTCAGAGTGACAGGAACAGGATGTTCCACCGGTGGCAGCACCCTGGAGCCACTCTATCAATCACAGCTCGGAACATCAGCTTCAGGCGGCAACTAGCTCCTGAGAGCTCTCTCTCTCCTCTCTCTCTCTCTCTCTCTCTCCTCCTCCTCCTCCTCCTCCTCCTCCTCACTAGGCATTTGTTTTGCTACCAAAATCCTAATTGACACTCCAGAAACAAGAATCACTTTGGGTTTCATCATTCGAGTGGCTTAGTGTACCACTCATTGGTAGCACGACCCAGAGGACCCACGAGCTCAACTGCCCCAGTTGGCTGTTGTTTATTCATCCGTCTCGATGACTGGCATGCATTCAGGTTGTCACACAGGTCTTCTCCTGAACATCTGGCCAGTTGTTTATCTTCCTAGCTTTGTGACAGTTGGCAGTCGTCCATCTTTTGCTCCCTTTAACCTCCCACAAGAAGTCCAGCCTTTCACTGGGTGTTTCTTCCTTCTGTGTTGTGGAAATCAACTAGAAAGGAACTTACATGGCTGTCCCGCCTTTTGTCACCTGTCCCTTCTTGGGCAGTCACCTGCACATCTGTTCTTGCCCTATCCGTG